ACCACAGACATACATACCTCACACACACACCACACACACCACAGACACACACACCACACACACACACACACACCACACACACACACCACAGACACACACACCACACACACACACACCACAGACACACACACCACACACACACACACACACCTCATACCACAGATCCACACACACACACACACCACAGACACACATACCACACACACACACACACACACAAAACACACACACCACACACACACACATACCTCACACACACACCACACACACCACAGACACACACACCACACACACACACACACCACACACACACACACACATACCTCATACCACAGATCCACATACACACACGCCCCCGTGTCTGAGGATCCTGACCTCAGTCACGTGCCTCTGTCCTCCCTCCCTCCACCTTGCTCTGGTGCACACTCCTCAGGACAGGAGGATGCAGGGCTGTACACCCCTGGCGCCGAGAACTCACCAACAACACAATACAGAATGGAGATTTGGGAGCAATCAGATGACAACAATGTGAAGCAAAAGCAACAACCAAATCCGGGCTGTGGACTGTTGCAGCACAGACTGGTGTTGGTGCACTTCTAGAAACCCAGATTTTGGGAGATGGAGGTAGAAGGATCAGGGTCATCTATGGCTGGAGAGATGGCAAAGGACCTACTGTGTGAATGTGAGGACCTGATTTCCTATCCAGTATTCATGTAGACATTAGATGAGGTGGTGTATTTCAGGGAGAAGGGGAACAGAGGCAGGGAGATTTACCCTGGAGCTCACTGCCGGGCACCCTCCGTGACAGATTTGCTCTGTGTTCAAGGTGACCGAGTGATTGAGAAAAGACACCTGAGATCAACCTTCTGGCCTCCCTATGCACAAATACAATGTCTAAACACACACACCACAGACACACGCACACGCGCACACACACACACACACACACACACACACACACACGGGTGCCCAAGAAGTTCAAGGTCATCTTTAACTACCCCTGTGAGTTTGAGGACAACCTAGGATATATGAGATCCTGTCTCAAAAAACAAAAAAACTTTAATATAAAATTTCTGGGTTTGGCTGGGCTCAGAGGCTAAGAGCACCGGCTGCTCTTCCAGAGGTTCTGAGTTCAATTCTCAGCACCCACATGGTGGCTCACAATCCAATGCCCTCTTATGATGTTTAGGCAGACATACATACAAAGCACTTGTATACATAAATGAATAAATCTTTAAAATAAGTAAAACACTTCAGTGACTTCAGAGAGGGCCATGGGAGGCCTCTCTTGGTTTTCTTTCCTACTTGCTTTTTATAGAAGAGCTTCGTAAGCATGTTCACCCGGAGGAACCTCGTCCAGCTCATTCCTGCTCTGGTTCCTTTGGTTCGTTCGGCCTTGGCCCAGGAACACCCATAGGATCTCAATAGCTATAGGAGACAAGGTAGATGCTCCATGTGAGCCCCCGCCGGCCCCTGTTCCAGTACTGGGGATACTTCTCAACAAGAAGACAGTCACTGAGTCAGGGAAAGAGAGTGGCACAGGCAGGTAGTCAGCAGAGTCAACCTTGGGAGGGCATTTGGGCCTGGAGAGTCCAGGCTTGGCTTGCCACTTTTGGGGGGCACGGGAGTGCTTTGCCCACAGGTATGCCTGTGTACCTCTTGGGTGCAGTACCCTGGAGACCAGAAGCGGCCATTGGAGCCCCTGGAACTGGAGTTATGAACCCCCATGTGTGCTGGCCGTCTCTGCAGGAACCAGCTCTTTACAGCGGAGCCCATCCGTCCAGCCCCTGCTCCACCCCACCCATCACTCCTGAAGAGTTAACGTTACACCTTGGGCATCTGGTCCTGGATTTGTAGGCAAGAGATCATGTAATACTTAGGATGGCCACTTGCCTCCTGCCCTCCTCACCGCGCTAACTGAAAAAAGGGGTCCATTATTGAGACCATGGAGGGGTTCTGGGGTGGAAATATACGAACAGAAGGGTACCGAACTTTCTCTGTCTGGGTCTGGGGTTCCCGTGAGACTGCCACTGCTTTTCTAGACCCTCCCGATGGGCCTCTCAAACACCTTCCCTCATCCAATGCTTCCTATCCTGTTGTGTTCACTCCCTGTCCCTGGCTCCACCCCCCATTAGTTATACCTGAGCTTTCCTTGACTTCAGAGCAAGGAATGCTTGAGGAACCCGCCCCCCCAACACACACACACACACACACACACACACACACACACACACACACATCTTTCAGGATGTCTAGAGCGCAATACATAGAAGAAGTGGGTCATGGCATCCATTCGGAGACCGCCTCAGAAGAGAAAACAGAAGCCACAGATGGACACATACTTGTAATCCCAGGGCTCAGGGAGCTGAGGTAGGAGAATCAATGTGGGTTAAAGGTCAACATGGGCTGATGGCAACACCCTACAGGACAGACTCCAAAGCAATACAGAGAAACCTGTCTTGAAAAACCAAACAAACAAAAACTCAAAGAAATGGAAGACAACACATGCAATGGGAAATATCAGACTGTATCCGCATACGGTGGGTGAGCGGTCTGATGAAGTGTTTATCACTATTTTTTTCTTTTAAAGATTTATTTATAATGTACATAGTGTTCTGCCTGCACACCAGAAGAGGGCACCAGATCTCATTACAGATGGTTGCGAGCCAGCATATGATTGCTGGGAATTGAACTCAGGACCTCTGGAAGAGCTCTTAACCTCTGAGCCATCTCTCCAGCCCAAGTATTTACTACTGCTGTCTCACAATATAAAATGTATTCCTGGCTGTGAGCGCCCCTGGACAAAAGAACACCGACTGACACATGGAGTCAGCACACGTGGGCAAACACACCTCATTCTGTCAGGTTATTCTCAAGACACAAGAAATCCAATAATGAACTGTACAGTCCCCGGTCTCAGGGGGCCTTTTTAACTGGCAGGCAGTTCCTAAATAAGGTCTGTAGAAGGACTTGAACTCGTGACATCCCTGCCTCAGTTTCCCCAGCACTGGGACTGCCAGTGTATGGCACCACACCCCCACTGACCTGATGCTGCTTCTTCAGAAGCTGTGCAACCTCAGATGAATCAATTAACCTTTCCAGACCATGCTTCTTCTTCCGTAAGATGAACATGTCTATCCCGCTAACCTTGAGATGAAACATCAGATGAGTCAGACAATATATATGGAAGTACTCTCTCTATATAAGAGGGGGCAGACAGGATCTACGGATGAGAATATGAACTGAGAGGTCTCCCTCAGTACCCAGTCCTGTCCCTGCTGTCATTGAGCTACCTTGCAAGAGGACATGGCCAAAGTCTAACAAGGGATCCATTAAAGATCTACCTTGCCAATCCTATTGTTTTAATGGTGGGAGGCAAAGATGTCAGAACTCCCCCAGCTTCCTTTCTGTTAATGAATTAGCATCTACCCAAACTCAGACATTTAGAATTACATAAGCATCACTCAGAGCTTCTCTAACAGTAGCTTTCACTTTGGAAAAAACAGCATTTTCATTAAAATAGTGTTATGTAAAAGAAAAATTATTTTGTGTGTGTGTAGGAACAGGCGAGCATTCACATTTAAGGAACACAGGCACGTACATACATGATGACAGTACCTTGTAGGTTTTGACCTACTTGGTCAAGATTAAGAGGGACAAATGTCAGACTGTGAGAACTCCAGGAGGGAGGCCACATCAGCTGTCCCTGTCCCCCTCACACACTAAGGTCTTGGCCTTCCTTAGCAGGGGAAGCTCCACTGAAGTCCACACTAAGTTACTTAAGTCATCCATGGCAATCTGACTGCTTTATCCGTCTCACCAGCTCCAATCTGGGCACATCCTTTCTCCTAAGGCACCTCATGGAGGACAGATGACCACAAAGCACTTGAAATGGGGATAACGAGACGCCTCAACCAGTAAGAACGCTTCCCATGAAAGCTTCGATGTCCTGAATTTGAGCTCCAGAGCCCACTGTGGAAGGACAGAATAGACTGGAAAGTTGTGTCCTCAGACCTCCTCCAGGGCAGTGGGGCACACACACAATACACAATAATCTTTGAAACAACCCGGTAAGGAATTGAAACCGCTCCTTTGGAGCTCCTACTCCTCCAAGACGAGTGGAAACCCTTCCCTCCAGTGAAACCTTGAGCACTTTGAGAGTTCAAACCCAGGCGTGGGGACTTAAAAGGATGAGGAAGGGCTGTCCGGGTCCACTAGACACCTCTGTCCTCTTCACAATAAGGATGGAATTGTGGGGATGGTGGCGGGGATCTGGGCTAGGAAGATGGGATGCCTGGTTTGGCAGTGGCTGGGCACCTAAGGAGGCCTTACACATAAGGTGTCATTTTAGTGGAGGTCACCCGGTCCCGAGGTCAATTCCGGAGTCCTGGTTCCTTCCCCTACACTCTCCTTTCCTGATTCATCAGCGGCAGTCTTACATAAGGCACTGGTTTCTAAGCAGGCAAATACGGAAATAGACTCGAACCCAGGTTCCCCTCCCAACACCGCAGGGGAACACATGCAGCCCAGCACCGAACCGGGACGCCGAGCTCCGGAGTGGCCTTTTAAGTAGTTGGGAAGGGGGTGTGGCCGAGAGGACGGGGAGGCGGCGGCCCAGCGAGCGGGGAGGGGCCGGGGGCGTGGCCCAGGCGGCTGGAATGTTGTTGGGTCCTTGCACCGCATAGTAAGGAGGGGCCACGCCCCCTTTCTGCGAGGGGACCAATCGGAGGGCCGGAGCGGTTTCAAGTCTCCCCCGCCAGCCCGCCCGCCCGCCCGCCCGCCACCCCACCCCCCTCGGGGATTCGCTTTTTCCGAGACAAAATAGCAAACCTCTGCGAGCTCCGCGGCCCCTGCCGCTCGCTGGTGGAGGGTCCCGGGGCTGACGACGCTGGCCCGGAGCGGGACGCGCCGGCAGGCGGCGGAGAGGCCGGCTCGGGAGCGGGGAGGAGCGCGGGGGTGGGCGCTGCAGCCGCGGGTTGTTTATCTGGAGTACGGAGGGGAGGGGGGAGCCTGGAAACCGCCCCGTGTCCCATTTCCTCCTCTTGTTTTCGCTCCGGATTCTCCATGTTGGACCCAAACTGAGGAGCCCGGAGCTGCCACCGGGGGATCGGGGCTGGGGGCACCGGGGGGAGCCGCCGCCCGGGCCGTCCGCCCTCCGTGTAGGCCGCCTCCCTTCCCGGCCCGGGGAGGAGACGCGAGGTGGGGGGATGTGAGCGGCTGCGGGAGCCGGAGTCTCGGAGCCGGAGCCCGTCGGGCCCCCGCCCAGGCCCCCCAGCCCAGCCCAGCCCGCCTGCGCGCTCGCCCGCGCGCCCTCCCGCCCAGCCGGCCCGGGCCCGCGGGATTGTTAGATGGAACACGGCTCCATCATCACCCAGGCGCGGAGGGAAGACGCCCTGGTGCTCACCAAGCAAGGTAGGGGCGCAACTTCCCAAAACTTTGCGTCGCCCCCCGGGCGGGGAGGGGGCGGGAGGAGAATCCGGCGGGACCCGGGGTCGGCGCACCCGTCGGCGCCCGGACCCCCGCGTGTACGTGCGGGGTGCGGGGTGCGGGGTGGGGAGGGGAGCGAGGCCCGCGCTGCCAGCCCCAGCGCCCGGCGGGAGGGTGTCACCGGCGCAGCTGTCACCCGGCCGGCCGCCCCTCCCCCGCCAGGCCACCCGCGCGCGCCGCCCCCGCCGGGGCCGCGGGGATGGAGGGGGAGGGTGGGGGCGGCCGCTCTGGAACGCCGCCGGGACCGGAGTTCTCACTCGCAGGCCCTGCGAGCCCGCGATGCCGGCCGGGGGGGGGGGGGGACCCGCTCGGCCGTGGCGGCGCGCGCGGACTCGGGACGAAGTTCAGCGGCCCCGGGCGGGGCGGGGCGGGGCGGGGCGGGCGGGGGAGGGGGCGGGCGGCGGGGCCGGCGAGCCCGGCCCGAGCCCCTCCCGGAGCCCCTCCCGGCCCGGTGCGCTCCCCCGGGGCCGCCGCTGCACACACGCGCACACACAGCCGCGCTTGTTTAGCCCGGGAGCGAGCCGTGTCCCTGGTTACATAATTCCTCCGGATGGCATCGGACCCGGCCTGTTTCTGAATCGCGCAGCGGAAAAAGAAGAAAGAAAAAAAGTGCGAGTTGTGTGTACCGGGCAGGGGCTCGCGACCCCCGCCTTCTTGGGGGACGGGGCTCGGGTTGGAGAAGACGGGACGGGGTGTCGCAGGCCGTCTCTGGCGTGCGCTGGGCGACCGGAGCCAAGGCCTCGGGCCTCCCGCGGGGGCGGGGAGGAGGTTGGGGCCCAGAAGATGGAATCGCTCGGTTTGATCACGGTGGGGTCCCCTGAAACTCTTCCCCTTCGTTCGTCTGGCCTTGAGTGTGTCCAAAAAAGCTGGTAGAGATTTCCGCCGAGTGTAAGGACTGGCGTTGTTGCGCTTTTATTATTTTCTTTTTTCTAGAGGACTCCCACAGGACTGCGGTCACTTGGCTGGGAGGCTGAATGGAGAGCACACTCATGGGACGAGATCTCAGGGGTTGCTGCCCTTTTTTCTGTACATAAAAGGCCCATGCCACAATTCAGTAGACTGAGGCCTAGATCCTGGAGGGTTGCGAGCTGTGGGGCCCGGGTGTAGGTCCTCATCCTTCTGTTGATTAATAGTAACCAGCAGGTCACTTTCCAAGAAGTCTCCCAAACTTGCGTAGCCTGGGGGCAAAGCTGCTGCGGTGGTATCCCCAGCCTCTCTGGAATTCCTTAGCAGGGTGGGGGAAGGGGAGCGGTTCGTGTTTCTCCCAGAGGTGAAGCCGTGCTCGCTCAGATCTTGGCCCCGGGAAGGCCCCGCCTCCTTGCCAGGGTCTCTGTTGGTTCTTGACCCAGCTGTGTGATCCAGGCAGCAACTTTTCCGCCTGTGCTGGGCTCTCCGCTGCCTTCCAGCTGTCTTCACAGCCTCATCCCAGGAAAAGGACCCAAGCTTCAGGCAGAGATGAAGAAATCAGAGTGAGTGAGTGTGTGTGTGTGTGTGTGTGTGTGTGTGTGTGTGTGTTGTGTAGGATGCATAGTGGCAAACCAGGATCAGCCTGTGATTTCTTCCCACCCAGCAGTCCCATGCAGGGTCTCAGCGGTGTCCTGAATGGCAGGGCCACAGCAGGGTAGAAGGAATCTGGACTGTGCCATGGCAGCCGGGAGCAAATCAGAGCTGGTTTCTCATCCGTCAGGATGAGTGACAGGCGGCAGAGCAGAGCAGCTGACTTCCTGACAGTGTGTCAGGTTGCTGGGTTTTCTTGGAGTTAGTTTTTGTTTTCTCTTCTTGTATGTGGTTTGTCCTTCAAAGTTCTCCCTGGAGGAATCTGAATTCTCGGGCAGCAGCCTCTCCTCTCTCCGCCTCCCCTGGTAACTTGATTGCATTCCAGAGGAAGGCAAGCTTTCTTCTGGGCTGCCTGGGCGAGCCAGCCAGCAGTTGCACATCATTTGCAAACTTAAAGCACGCGAAGTGGGAGGGAGCAAACGTCCTGTCTCAGTTAGGAGTCCCGGCCCTCCCCCTCCCTTTTCACGCCTCCCATACCCATCCCTCTCTACCTTTGGGAGAGTGAAGGACTGTGGAAGTCTTATTAATGAGTTCACTTCTGGAAACAAGTTGCCTCTGGCTTGAGTGGCCTCTCAGTGAACTTGTTTCCACCGTATTCTTTCTTCCTTTTCTTCTTCTTCTTTTTTTTTTTTTTTCATCTTTTCTCTGAGCTTTGAGACTGCCTGGTGCGTGGATGATTCAGAAGAAGTAATTACAGTAGGGGAAGTAAAACAAAGGTACTGAAATGGACGGTAAAAGCAGCAAAAATCAGATCCTCTTTCAGGCAGATGGGAGAAATGGCCCCCTTTCCGGTACAGCAAGGGCTGGTCGTGTGTGTATTACATCAAAAATAAAAGTACCCATTTGGTGAGAATGGGCACTTACTTAAGCCTCGGGTGAGGGTGTCACCCCCATACTAGGAGGTTGTGCTCAGCTTGGGGCTTAGATGGGGGAAGGCAAAAGAGGCCAGGCTCCGCCCTGCGATAGGCCAATGTGAGATAGTGGGCGGGGCCTCCTCGGCTCAGTAACCTGCGAGGGCTTTGGGGAGAGTCAGAAAGAAATGACTTGTTAGGGGAGAGACCCTGTGCCCACTTTTGGAAGAATGACCTAAGCTTTGGCTTGCTGTCCTCACATCTGGAAGTGGGTGGGGTCTCGTAGCTAGTTACACTAAAGATTCTTCTCCAGGGCTGCTGTCCCTAAGAGGAGGGGCGTTGTCAGGGGTTTATTAGATTGTATGTGTGTGGGTGTTTGACCTGCGGGCATGTCTATACATCATGCAGGTGCCTGGTGCCCTCAGAGGTCAGAAGAAGGCATCTGATCCCCTGGAACTAGGTTTAGATGCTTGGGAGCCACCAAGTGGGCGCAGGGATTGAAATCAGGTCCTCTGAAAGAGCAGCCAGTGCTCTAAACCTCTTGAGTCATCTCTCCAGCCCCATGGTGACAAGTTTTTCTTGTCACTGTCCACAGAAGGGAGACATTCTGTCCCTTTCTCTTAAGAAGCCAAGGAAACACCTTCCCTTGTAGATGCAGCTAAGCTTTCCACGGGAAAAGCTTTGAACAGAGTTGTTGGCACCTCTGTTGGGTAGGGCCATCCCTGGGAGATGACAACTCCAGTGTTACTCCCTCAGTCTTTGGATCCCCCCCCCCCAAAATCCTGGAATCAGGCTGAGGGATGTCGTCTAAGCTCCTGTTTGCTCCCACTGTATTGCTTCAATCCCACAACAGTTTGTAAATGTGTGGAGCCTGAGGCTTGGCAGCTGACTGGAGAGGTTTGAACTAAGCCAGACTTCAGAGCCCTGGGGATAGAAAGGCAGTTAGCAGGCTGTGTCCTTCCTCCCAGCTAGAGAAGGTGGGAAAGTTAAGGTAGCAGCTGGCTCTGTGTGGCCTCCCCACCAATCCTTTAGTGAATTTTATTAAGGGAATACAAGCTGGGCAGTGGTGGTCCAGGCCTTTAATCCCAGCACTGGGGAGGCAGAGGCAGGTCAGGCTGATCTCTGTTGAATTCCAGGACAGCCAGGATTGTTACAAGGAGAAACCCTGTCTCAAACAGTGGGGGAGGGGGGTTACCAGAGAGGCAAATTTCTAACACAATTTGATGCTCCCAATCTTCTGTGGAGAATTAATAGCAGTGTTTTGGGTGTGGGAAAGAGAGTCAGCATGTCAAGTGGGGTGTGTGTAAGTGTACACCTCCCCCGCTTTCTTCCTGCTAGCTTTGAGAACATTTGGGGCATTATCTTTTATTTCCATCTTAGGATGTGTGATTCTTGGATTGGTGATGAAGTAGGAGCATGGGTTGTGTAGGGAAGTTAGCTAGCGTTTGCTGTTTCTGTTCCAGCAGCAAAGTTGGTTGCTTCAGGCTTGGGTTCAAATCCCTGCTCTTGTTATTGGCAATGAGACTACCTGTTACTTAGACTCCAGCAACTTATGGTGAAATGGGAGCATTGCTGTCTGTATCTAGTGCAGACTTTGTAGACGATTGGTAAATGTTAATCTTCCCTAAATGCAGCTTGACTGCTATCTGTCCTCCCTCTCTACTCCCCTAAGAAGTCACTGTGTAAAGAGTACCTGGTCATGTGGGTCAGCCTCTGAGCCTTCCACAGTCTTCCTGTAGACTGCTTCTTTGCCTATGTGGCTTGGGATGGGGCCTCAGCTGCTGCACTCCAGCATGAGGACAGGATGGAGGCTGGAATCCTATGCCTCCTGAAAGAGTGTCTTAAACCTGATGGGAAGCAGTTTGCCTTCTTAGAGCTGGAACTCAGAGTAGCTGCCACTGTCGTCATTTGCTGTGAGAGTTAATGATCTCAGTAAGATTTGGACTTCTTTTAGTTCTGTGTGTGTGTGTGTGTAATTTTATGTGCATTGGTGTGAGGCTGTCAGAGCCCCTGGAACTTAAGTTACAGACAGTTATGAGCCACCATGTCAGTACTGGGAATTGAACCCAGGTCCTCTAGAAGAGCAGCCAGTGCTCTTAACCACTGAGCCATCTTTTAGGTAATCTTAATAAGAACAAGAAAGATAGGTTTTTGTAGAGAAGTAGATACATCATCTTTGGGGAAGGGATACAGGATTTCTCTTTATGGCCCTGGGTGTCCTGAAATTTGCCCTGTAGACTAGGCTGGCCTCACAGAGATCTGCCTGCCTCTGCCTTCCAAGTGCTGGGATTAAAGCCATATGCTACCACCTCCCAGCAAGAAGTAGATATTCTTAATCTTTGCCTTTATGGCTTTGGTCTGAGCATAGAACACATTGAGTGAGCATTAAACTGCTTTTCATCGTGTCTCAAGCTGGCCAGCTCTGTGGTGCCTGGAAATGACTGTCGATTGGTTCTCCCACATGTTCAGTGCTGAAAGCTATCCCCAGCTAGGGTAGATGTGCACACAACAGGCAGA